GTTATAGGGTTGAACAACTCACAATACACTTACAGCCAGCTAATGAACGAGAAGAAAGACGTGCCTGGGAGCATGAACAAGGTTTCAGCTCCCCTGAAAGGTATGTGTTACTGCACAAAAATGTAATACTTATGCAAAAAAGTCGTCGGAAAATGGATTTCGAGTCGAATTTTTCGAGTTTGGACTATTTTGCTGTGCCGAACGGAGTTAATTAAACGGTGAAAGTTTTCGTCACTATGATATTCACATGACTAGTAAGTATTGGTCCCTTCTCCCTTCTCCGCCCTATGTGGGGGTGGAACCCAGGCGGGAGGAGACAGAGTTATACGTATGGCCGAAACCATTGAAACTAAATCAAACACCAAGTGAATTAGGTTTCGCCTGAATTCAGCCTAATATATTTACCATTTGCGTTGTTCTTTCAAAAGCATACNTGCAAAACAGTCGCCGGAAAATGGATTTCGAGTCGGATTTTTCGAGTTTGGACTATTTTGCTGTGCCGAACGGAGTTAACTAAACGGTAAAATTTTTCGTTACTGTGATACTCATATGAGTAGGAAGTATTGGCCCATTATCCCTTCTCCGCCCTATGTCGGGGTGGAACCCAGGCGGGAAGAGACAGAGTTATACGTATGGCCGAAACCATTGAAACTAAATCAAACACCAAGTGAATTAGGTTTCGCCTGAATTCAGCCTAATATATTTACCATTTGCGTTGTTCTTTCAAAAGCATACCTAGCCTTAAACATTACAAGTTTGTTAATAAATATATGATTTAAACAACAGACCCAATCCAGTGCACCTCTGAGGACGAGTTCCCTGGAGAGATCGTCACTGGCAGGAACAAGACTTGCCTACGAGGTGAAGTGAATATAAAACTGAAGGTTAACGTGGAAGTGGTAGCTGTCCGTGAAGAGAAGTAACTGGCCAACGATGAAAAAAGCTTAACTTATGGACTGCTTTAAGCAAAATAGAATAACTTATTATTTTAGAGATATTTTTCCCCAGGAGAAGTTGTGAGTAAAATGTGAAATATAGATAATTACACAAACAAGATGTAGAGCGATTTTGAATTGAGTGTCGTAAAACCAAACCAAACCAATTACTAACCAATTAGACTACTCAGCCAATCTCAAACCGTATTAAAACCAAAACCAAAACCGAAGTAATTGCCTCATTACTTTCGTATAGCTCGAAAATTAGACCTTTTCCTCTGATGTTTGGCGAAAAGTTTTCCTATATAACTGGTATTTTTACACCATCATCGATCATCCGATGGCGCATTATAGTATTACACGAGTGAACTCATTGAAGGAAATCCCTCTCGTTTAAATTTGCATGTGTTTGTCTAGCGCGGTATCCTAATTGCTGACAACTTACTTCTCCAAACAAGAAATATGAATTATAACGAAAATAATATATAGATTTAGGCCAGCCCAAAAGTGGAGCTCCTGGGCCGGGTTGTTCAGAGCCCGATTAAGCTAACAGGAAAAGGTAGAATTTTGATTT